TCGTATATATTTTAGATAATATTTGAATCAAACTTTATTTGTTATAATTTTACCAAATTTTACTAAGATACCGAAATGTAGTAATCTTGTGTGCCCTTTGCTGATACACCACAGCCTGTGTGCCGTCTACTATGTTTCGTGTTTTTGTGTTTGTCGTCTATTACCACATTTTTTCTTGTGTATTATTTAATGACTCATCCTCGCAAGCCAGGGGTCCTGAGTCAACACGTTGCCGTTGGATCCCTGGCATATTTCATTCAATATTTGTGGGCTGACTGAAGCAACGTCTTTCGGAAAAATTACAAATCTTGGTTGTTTTTCTTATTTCTTAAAAAAGAGAATAAATACAAGCTGTACTTTTTCATGCAACAAAGAGACTTTCTGTTTACCACCTAAATATAAAACACTTGAAAATCTTGAAAAATTCTTAAGTCGTGCGAATATTAGCACACCAGAAAACTACCCCCCTTGTCTTGAACAGCACAATGATTGAAAATGTTCACATCATGCAATTTCTACCAATCAAAAAAGAGAGGAAGCGCATAGTGTGAAGACTGTAAAACACTTCAACTCTGTTTACCCTCTTCCAAGGAAGACGGTAATATCGGTTATATAATATCGTTTTCATATTACAGATGAACGTCGAATTGGGTTTTTAAGTGAAAGGGATAAAGTAAAATTAAGTAAAATTCAATGAATGTATGAAAAAAGCATGTGATCAGAAGAATCTTAAATGATTTCTGCTTGGATATGGAATTTCACCCAACGAATTGTGTTCTTTATTCGAAGACTTGGCTCGATAATTCAAAACATAAAACTCGTTCGATAAAAATCGCATCAAAGCGAAAACTATGGGGTATTTTTCAGTTTATAGAAATGATTTTAAACGAAAACAGAAGAAGAAATTTAAAAAAAACGGAACATAAAAATGCGTTAAGGAAGTATTCAGAAGATAAAAACGAAATAGGAATGAGCTGACACAAAAATACACGGACATCTCCTTTAGAAATAAAGACCGATTTCACTCTATTGTTTTAAGAAAAAAAAATATGCTTATACCCCAGACTCAAGGTGGTTTAGAATACTAGTGTAATCTCGTCTCTTAAGGAAGTTGAAGGTATTATTGTAACGCGCTTGTGCAAAGGGGGGGGGGGGGGCTAGGTGTATTGTCACTTCCAAATTTTGAAGCTATTCTCATTATTGACAATAATTGATTGGGATTTTTTGAAATATATGGACAATATGATAGCATGATTAAAGAGCCACATATCGATCTTCAGAAACTCAAACAAGATATACTTATAAAATCTTTCATGCACAAGAACATGTGCCAGTTTAGTCTTGCGGTGTCACTAGCGGTCACATCTTAAGATTGATTAAAGCACACCATAATTATTTATGTCACCCCGAGCGAAGTCGGGGGACATAAAGCTATTGTATGCATGAAAACATTGTTCACGGACTTTCTTGCAGATGGCTGGGGGCAATGTTGCTGAAACTTTCCATAAAAGATGATGGCCAACTGTATTTGTGCGGAAAATATTTTTCAGTTTCAACATGGCTACCGTTACCATGGAAACGTACGAAAAGTGAAGAATTTTGTTCAGAAGTGTTCTCACTGATATCTAAGACAATCGTAGTGAATCTTCATAGAAATGATAACCAGTAATTGTAGTTTTGCAAATCGCATTTAAAATTTTCCACCCATCGTTGCCATGGAAACAGAAGAAAAGTAAAAATTGCTAAACTTTGATTTTCTCACAAACTGCTCAGGCAATTATTTTGAAACTTGTACGGATTGTTACTTACATTCTGTCAAAGTAGATTCTATTTTAAAAATTAGAATCTTTTGCAAACAGTTGGCATAGGAAAGAAATAACCAGAAAAAAGTCAATATACACACAGATATTTTTCGAGGTGGCTTGGACAATTGTGATGAAAATTTACAGAAATCATGATTAGACACTCTATTTGTTCAGTCAACATTCAAAAATTTCTAAATGCCCATTGTTGCCATGGAAACAGGAAAAAAGTTTGTTTTTTTTTTAATTTTCATTTTTTTCAGTAACTTACAAAGCAATTTTTTCAAAACTTTATTGGTTTAATCCTTTCAATGTATTAAACTGGATTCTGCATAAAATGGAATTGATGGTCAGCGGAAGGAAGCCGGGATGACTAATTGTTTTAGTCACCCTATTTCTGTTTTGAGCGTTCTCGTAGAAGGCTTCGAAAATCTTTTTGAAACTTCACAGAAATAAAGGTCAACACCTATAGTTGTGCGGATATATTTCTACGTGTCGATGTCTATTTTAAAAACTGAAAAAAATCATAACTGCATTTTCTTCGCACAAGTGGCCAAAAAACGTTGCATATACGTTTATGTTTGATCTTTTTAAATCCATAAATTATTCAATTTCTTTGTCTTCCTAATTTCTTTTTCCTGTAATATTCCTAGTGCACATAAAGGTACAACAATGAAGTTTTTTGATATGATTAAGGAGAAATAAATATCTTATCATTTCCCAAAAAACATAGGACCAACGTTTCTTAAACACTAAAAAATATTTATTTTATTTTCATGCATGTAGTAAACGGGGACTGCACTGGAGTAATATACATGTATATAGTACGAAGTGTACAGAAAAAAAGTTCTCTGGTGACGGAGACTTCGTTTTGCGGTAGAAACGAATTTTTATTGAATAAGAAAGAGTAATATTTAGTATATATTTGACGGGCGCATTTTTATTTCCTTCATTTCAAATCACAGATTTCACCCCCCCCCCCCCTTCTCTTTCTATATATACATATATATCTTTCTATGATTGCAAGTTTTGCTTTATGTCTTGGATTCTAAATAAAATGACCGTCACCTTCATGTCATAAGTAACTCTTCATTTAAAAGTTTTCAAGACTTAATAATTCTAAAAAATGATGGCTAATTAACATGTCTATTTTCAAGATCACCCCCCCCCCCCCCACTTCCCTCGAGTTAGCGAGGTAGAAACGCAGATGTAAAAATTATAACTGGCAGGGAGCTAGGATCTTAAGCATTTCATGAATAAAGTTCAGTTTCGCTGATGTGAACTGATATTTTCCCAGCATTCAGTTCCGTTGATGTGATCCGATATTTTCCCAGCATTCATTTTCCTTTTGTTTTGTCTATAGAATTTATAATTATTTTATTTAGAATTTTTATCTTTGAAAAGTAGTAATTGTCAGCCGTTTTCATTAGCATTTGGCGTTTTCTTGTGAATGTATTACTTGCATATGAATAATTTCATTCATTGATAGTTAGAATCATTTCAATTTAATTTCCATCTTTTTAAAATTTTGAAAATCTTGGGATCCGCTCCTGCAGGTGTGTAAACGTAAATTCAGCACGCCGGAAATGTTCATGATTCTGCCAAACTAAAAAAAAAACGTTTAAACATATTTTATCATCTCATAAAAAATCAGCCCATGTCGTATGCAAAAATGCCGAATTGAAGAGGAAAATTCAGGAACTATTTTGCGTCAGCAATGTTTTGACGTGAACCTGGCATTCTGTGAAGTAAGGTCTTCCGTCTTCTACAGAAAACATTCTTGTTATTCCTGATATCAGAGAAAAATCAAAAATTTTATTTTAAACCAATCAGATCTCTTAAACACAATTTTTCTACGAATATTTTCTTTCTATGGAATAATCTTAGAACTTATGGTCCAGTTCGGGGTGACATACGCTATTGCTTGCAATAATAGATTTTCTAGTTTTATAGTTTCATTTTTTATGCCCGCCATGAGAGTATGTTTTGTCTCACTTTTTTGAATCTGAAATCCATAATTTTCAAAGTTTTTAAACATATAGTAAAGTAAGAAAAGATTACCTTAGACCCCCTACAAAACCCGGATCCCTGGAAAAGGAAGGGAAGTTAATTATATATGTGAGGGAAAATGACTAGTTCAACCCATATATAGAGGTGGGTCTGGTAGGAGGAGGGTGTTCTAACCAACCAACCAACCAACCAACCAACCCCACTCCTTGAATTTGCAGTGTTATATATGTACATAGTAAACAAACTGAAATCCCTGTTAAGTTGGTTGGAAGAGTCATAAATGAAGTTTAGGAAGTGAAAAGTGAATGAAAAATGCTCAAACGCAACCCCCAGCCCCCCCCCCCCCCACCAGCCATTATGATTTTTTTTTTTAAAGGTAAGGATAGCCGTTTAATTTCTTTCCTTTTTTCTCGAAAATTTCTGATTGGATTGTTTGTTTTTGAATGATGTGGACCCCCCCCCCCCCCAAAAAAAAAAAAAAAATCCTGGATCTTCCCCCACCTCCCGGCCACCCAAACTAATTATATTTAATGGTTTGGATCGTTTTTTCGTTTTTGCTTGTCCATTATTTTCAGAGTTATATTTATGGGGGAAGTAGTACAAGCCCCCCACCCGTTCCAGAACTGCTCATATCTATGATTATATAATATGGTGACATAAAGTAAAGGTACATGTAGGTACATTATTTGTTTCTAGGCACAATGTCCCGGTCTAGTGTAAACAACTAAGTAACATACCTTCTCTGTATTTTTAATACAAATCTTTTTATAATTTATTGTTTTCTTCACACGTAAAACAATTTACGTAACCCCCCCCCCCCCCCGTGAAATAAAATATGTATCCAGGAAAAGGGGTATGGGTTGGGCTGTCCTGTCTACAAGCTCAAACCTCTGACAAATTACGACTGAAGATGTCTTTTTCCCAATCTGTTGCAGTATGTCTTTATCTTTATGGATTTAGAATAAACTAGGTTATTAGACTCACTGACTAAGTGAACCTTGGTGTAACCAACATAGTTATTTCTGTTAAGCATTGTGTGTATGCTTAGATTGTCCTGCGATAACGATTTATAAGTATTTATCTGAAAATACATACATGTATCTCAAAATGGTAATAGGGCTATTAATATTGAGTAATTGATGTCTGTTTTAAATATTCTGACAAACATTATGTCTTTCCTTCTTTTAGCTTTCAAAGCCTATTCTTTGGGAGATTACAATCTATGGAAGACAAAGGTATCTGGTAGGTACATGTACTTTTTTAAAGAAATTATAACGTACATTTTTTTTACATGCTTGTTTATCCTACGTACCCAAGAGAAAAATTATAGTATCATCAGTCAAATATTAGTGTTTATAACCTTTAGCAGTTGAAAATCAAGCCAAGTCTCAAAAAGTTTTCACTGCCCCCTATCCTATTAAGTACCAACCCACCCACCCCCTTAACCCCCCCCCCCCCCCCAAAAAAAACATTCGGTGCGATATATGGTGGAAATCGTAATTTAATCAAAACCGGTTTCGATATATAACCTAGATGATAAATATAAATGCATGAAATCTCAGAACATTTAGTTCATCATTTAGTCTAATATTTTCAATGTAATTCCTTGTCTTTTGATATTTGGAAACTTTTAGAAGCCATCTTAATTTATTCATATGGATTAAACAAATCCATATCTTGTCAAAACAAAGACATGAGATGATGGTGGAATGAAATTTTTTGATTATAAGATAAACTTTAGACAAAGACATGAAGCATCATGTAGTTTTTTCTTCTTCTTTTTTTTCCCCCAGGAACACCTAACAGTTTTACCTTGTCTGCACAATAGTAATTAAACCCCCTTATTATAAGGTTTTATACTGTAAAATGATGCTTTCATAAGTATAATTAATCGGGAACAGTAAACAGTTTTACCATTGTAATGACAATGAATGTAATTTATTCTTAACTATTTTAATAACTTATATGCAGTGTTACCATATACGTTATAACTCGATACATTTTGTAGGTAAGTTCTCCACACTGACTGATGACGAGGTGTCCGTGTTATTCTGTTTTCTGTGTTCTGACTCCGGTCCTCCTGACTTCACTGACACAGAGTGGCTGGACAAGCTTAATAAGATACGACAGGATGTGTACGGTAAAGAGAATCCTGTAACAAGTGAGGAAGCACAACAGACTCTGGACAGACTGAAGTCACGTGATTACCTTTGGGAAGATCAGGACAAGATAACGGACACAAAGGATGAGACAATGTATAGGATAGCATCAATAAACCGTGATATACCATTCTATTACAGTAGTTATAACACAGCCAGTGTGTACCTGAGATCATCTGGATACAACAGAAAACCTAAAGAGAAGTGTGTCATCAGTGATGGTTACTGTGATTCCTCTCTGATACGCCGTCTACATTTGAACATACTGACTCACGTCACCATGGAGGACACGGATATATATAATGAGATATACCAGATATGTAAGTCAGTGTAAAATATTTGTATTTAAATTTATCCTTGTCCTTTTTCAGAGTGAATGTTTAATGATTGTATTACATTCTGAAGAATGATGTAGTTATAAGTAGAAACATTTACTTTAATTCCTTATTTTATTTCTTAATTGGTATATATCTTTTTTTTCTTCATCAATCTCATTTAATACTACAAGTTAAACTGTTTAAAAAAAATAATAGTTATATAAATAACTGATCGAATGTGTTTAATAAATCCATATTTTTAGTTGTATCTCCACTTGTATAAAGGAATTAAAGTGTAAATGTTTATTAGACAATATTCTTCTTTTTTCTACAGTGAATATTCCAGAACATAACGTAAAGAGCAACAGAGATGAACGAGAAGAATTTCTAATGGAGCTAAGAGAAAGACGGGAGGCTGTCCATTACAGAGGAAGATCACAGGACAGTGTAGATCACGTGACATGGCTCTGGAGATACGGGTTTGACGCGAGACCTGACATCGTGAGATCCTGTATAGGCCTCCATCCACACTGGGACATTTACATCATCGACAACAAAGCTTGTAATAAACCAAGTAAGAAGGAAACATTTCGCGTTGTAAAAAAAAAAATTAAATGTCTTCTTTTTGGTATTAATAATGTCACATAATAAAAAGGTGGAATGCATTTTTTCCTACTATGCTAATTTGAATTCCTTTGGCATAATTTCAAGAATAACGACAGGAATGATCGCATAATTATCTTCCTTCACGAATAATCATAGAAAAGCAATTCAAAAATGCAAACTTAAAAAAAAAAAAAAAAAAAAAAAAAAAAAAAAAAAAAAAACTAGCATGAATTTTCCTTCAAATACAGCTGTCAGGGCAAACCCATTTAAGTAACAATGATTTTCCCTCAAAATTTAATTCAGTGGTAATTGAACAATTTAGCAATTTCATATATTTTGGGGAGGGGGGGGGGCAAAACCAAGCCAAAATTCCTTGACAAGCAAAAAAGGGTCAGCAAATGTTATTATATGAAAGGGGCACAAGCATAAAGTGGGTATGTTTTCAACAGTATGCTAAATACCCCATCCCCACTGCCATTCCCTAGTCCTATGGCCATGAATTAACAGTCGTGTTAGAATGAAATTTATTTTTTATTGGGAAAAAATTCCAGATGCGTCCTTGAAAAACAAAGTAACACAATGATTCTTGATTATCTTTATTAACACCCAGGTAATATAACAGTTACATGTGTATTCTCAAGTATGCTTTTTCTGAAATACTTTTGCTGAATTCTGTTTTATTTTACACAACGTGCACAAGTCTGCAATTTACTGAATGACTTATAGATAATATAAAAGGTCGTACCCCCTCCCCATGGATTTGCAGAATATTATTAAGTGTACATACTGAAACAAATAAAAAAAATGCCAATATGAATACAAAGATTTGATTGCATAAAACATATATTCTTTATATATATATATATATATATATATATATATATATATATATATATATATATATATATATATATATATATATATATACAGAGGATTCTTTGTATATAAAATATTTTTTACACTGTAATAATGATTTTATGAGTAGGTTTGTACATGCCAGAGATCATAACTTGTTCATTTCATATGTTGAATACTATCATTTAGTATATCGAAAAAAAATACTGAATCCTCCGGGATTTGAACCCGCAAACTCTCGCGTCAAAAGCGAAAATCATACCCCTAGACCAACGAGGCGCTTGAAAGTAATACAAAGCAAATGCAAACTGGAGGTCACATATACATGACTGTATATATTCACGTTCGATATTGTCAAAATTTTACATAACACATGGTGTCTAATTTAGCCTTTGCTAAATAGTTCTAATAGGTGTTATTATTCAGTTAAAGCATATGATTGAGGAAGTTAGCAAGATTCCAGTTCCCCAAGGCCAGGACTATTTCCCGAGGCAAAGCCGAGGGAAGTGGCCTTTGTTGAAAGGAACTGAGATCTTGCTTACTCCCTCAGTGATATACTTTTAACTGTTTTATCATACCGATACAAACGTAAAATTTAGAGGATTCAGATAGCTTGATTTCAAAGCAGGGATTAGCCCACTGAACTAACACACGGGGATTAGTCCATTCACATATCATACCAATGTAAAAGTAAAATCTAGAGGATTACGGATAACCGGGGAATTAGCTTTCGAAGCAGGGATTAGCTCACTTCACTAACGCACGGGTATTAGTCCACTCATAACGATTTATAGGGAATTAGTCACATCTAACGATCTAATGATTATATAGGGAAAAATCAGTAGAGGTATAATAATAGAATATAAGTCCGCCGACAACATATATAAAATGTAATAACTCTCCACCTGCTCCTGTGCTAAAAATAGTGTCACGCGAATTTTAATATAAACGGGGAGTAACTCTAAAACTTTGAGCGTGATCGATGCCAACAAATTTCCAATTGAGTTTAAAAAAAATTGACCCCCCCCCCCCAAAAAAAAAAACGGGGTGGGACACTTTAAGTTGGGCGGGCGTGGCCATAGAGAGTTATGGTATAAAATTTCATTGCAAAAGCTCAAAATTTTCTTGAGATTTCGCCCGGAAACAAAAGTATTACTAGTACACACAGAAAGAATGTATGAATTAACGACCTTGACCTTTGTTGTTTTGACCACAAAATCAATACGAGTCCTCTTTAGGCCAGAGGAAACTGTGATATAAAATTTCATTGCAAAAGCTCAAAGCTTCTCGAGAAATCGCGCGGAAACGAAAGTGTTACAGACAGACAGAAATACCGACGGGCAGACGGATGGACGGACAGGCCCAAATTAATATCTCCCACTTTCAATGAAAACGGGGGACAAAAAAAAAAAGATAAAAGATTTGAAAACGTGGACAACCGAACTTTCTTCTTCTTCTTTTTTTTTTTTTACATGCAAGTAACAGCAGCATGTAAGAACAAGATATGTTTGTGAAATACTGATGCACCCCATGGCAGTTTATTTCTCAAATGCGAATGAAACGCCAAATTCAAGACCAAAAAATAAAAAAAATGTTATTACCCAAATAAAGGTCTTGTCTCAAGAAATATATCTGTAAAATATAAAAATATAAAAATTTTTCAAAAGTAGGTCAAGCTCCAAAGTCAAGGTCAAAAGGAGAAAAAAATATTTATACCCAAGGAAAGGTCTTATCACATAGAATACACATGTGAAGTATGAAAGCCTTAGCACCACTTGTTAAAAAGCCCAAGTTGAAAATTTTGCAAAAGCTCCAAGGTCAAATATGTACGTACCCCAGGAAAGGTCTTGTCACAAGAAATACAAAATATGTGAAATATGAAAGCCATAGTTTCAACCAATCAAAACAAACAGACTGTCTGTTATAAAATGCAAAGTAACTTTTGATCCATTTATAGTAGAAACCTGATATTTGGACATATTTAAAAGGAGTCTCCATTCTTTTTTTACAATAAAGGTCAAGGTCATATTAAGAGGTCAAATATAATGACGTCATCTACAGAATCTTTACGTATTTTGGCATTTGATTTATTTAAAATTGCCAAAATATCTGAAATTCAAATTTCTTCATTTTGACATATTTTAATCTGGGTTCCATTTCTATGATTCTGTAGATTTTTTGTAAAAATTGAATTATACATTTTCTTTATATAGGACTTAACATGTGGCATATTTACATGTGAATTTTCAATTCCCGGGCTATATATATGTACTATTTTTACATCCCTTTTTTCTCTAATATCACGGTGTCAAAATATTCTACTAAATTTTAGTACAATTTGTTGCCTTTATAAACAGCGTCACACAAGTTTGCAATAGATCAATTGGTTATTTTTACATAATGCACAGTCTTAGGTCAGCTGTCTGATTTCAGAATCTTCTTACAGGTGTCTGATAGGCCATATTTCAAACTATGTGGGCAAAAATGAATGGTTGAATTTTTTTTATATTACATTTAAAGAGAGATTTTGTATCATAGAACAAAATACCAAAGTTTGATCAAAATTTAATTTGAGGAAAAATTTGGCTTATCTATTATGTACTACCTTAAGCTCGTATAGAAAAAAATGGAAGTTATAATCCTGATATGACGCCTTTTTTCCTTTACAGGAATTATGGTCCCGACCTTTATCAAGCTTTTCCTTAAAAAAAAAGTCTACTCACATTACCTCCCCCCTCTTCCTTAAACTGTGCAAGTCATGTAATCAAAATCACTCTTGCCGATGTAAATGAGGAGACAAAATTACTTCTGCATATTGCAGTTTAGTTTACAATTTTAATTTTCTATTTTTGTTTAGAAATAATTTCAGTTTAATGAATTGAATTTACATGAAATAAAATTCTCAAAATTCATTTGTGGAAATTCTTCATGACATTACGTTAGACATCTGTGTTTTAAAGCCGGGCCCGAGCTCTGTTATTGTTAATGTTTTACCGTTTTACTGGGTGTGTTCAATTTGTTCAGGCTTCGCATATCACTGACAATACTGGTGAGTTGGATTTGCTTTCTCACATTTCTAACTTTCTGATTTAAAGTTTTAATATTGCTTTTTAATACACAATAAATTTTCCACTTTTCTTAAATATTATTGATATATTGTACTTCGTGGAGGTGCAAGGATTCGTGCCAATCAAACGCGTCCCGAAAATCGTACCTTTGATAATTTCTAGATAAAAGAGGTTTCTAAAAACTTTTCTTTTTTCAATTATTTGGTGTGAAATGCCCTAGCAACATATAAGTCATGATATGAAAATATTAGAAAATATTAATTTACCTCGAATCTGTAGACCGTAGTTTTCTCAGTTGAATAAGAAATCAGGCTCCAGAAAATTTAGTTTTTTTATTAATTAAAAATGAAAAAAAGAGATCATTTTGCTGATAGATTCCAGCGACGAATAAGATGTGTGATCCAGAAAAAAAAACATTGACGGTTACAATGGATCTTGCTGATGTCTTCACCTATACATCACTGAAATATTTTTCATTGCCTTAGTAAATACTATACATGCGTCTACTCTGTAAAATGCAAATCTAAAATTCAGTAAATAGAATCAGGGGTGGATCCAGGATTGTTTTTCCCATTTCAGATGGGATGGGGGTGGGGAGTGGGGGGGGGGGGGGGTTGTTATTACCAACTCAGAAAAATCTGACTCAGAATTATTTTGAATTTCAAAAAAAAGTTAAAAAATCTTTTTTGCTCAAAAGCACTTCTTGGGGAAAAAGGGGGACTATCTTTGCATTGACAACCCGCTTAAAAGAGACGTTTTTCTCCAGTAAAGGAAGTCAAACGTTCTGCACCGTAAACTGTTTGGTAACTAAGATTTCCAATGCAATTTAAGAAAGGAATTCATTCTGAGAGAAAAAAAAAATAATTAAAAGTCCACCTTTCTCCTTTACCTGTACACACAGAAGATATTTTTGTTGAGAGGTTAACTAAATGTATAATCTCTGTAGGCTATCAAAGAAATACATGTACCTCCAAACTGTATGGATTACATGGACATTTAAAGACGTACACCACACCGGGGGAGATAACCCTTGCAATTTCAATTA